GGAGCAAAACAGCTACATTTGGGAAATAGTGATTAATAATACATTTCAAAGCCTGAGAACTTAGGAACATTTAAAACAGATAATAGTCATGTGTAACACCAATTGACACAGACTACTAGCTTTTGGACTTGACTGAATTCTTGATACTTGATCAATATTCTTTGAAACACTCTGAGGAGCCTGAATAACTAGGACAGAACTCCTTAAAGTGTTTTCAAGACCACAATTTGGATGTGTTATTAATACGGCCAGGGACAGTGTCAGAAATAGATGTGCTTCATATAATTTCAAAGGCAATTTGATATCCCAGTGCTATTTTTAAAATTTGGTTATTTTTAAAACCAGTGTTCTCAAAAGCTCAAAGAGGCATATTGTGTGACTTGATGAGCATATTCATGTCTATAAAAAGAAAGGTAATTCATAATAAGCAGACTCTAAACTGTGAGAGAGTTTAGGAATAATTTGCCAGATTTATGTAGCTAATAATTTTGTGGTTTTTGTATATATGAGTGAGTGACATACATAAAGAGGAAGACTACATAGATGCTGTACATCTATCTATCTAGATAGACAAATTGATAGATAGAATTATTCAGTGTAAATGAATGAAATGAAAATATGATACAATATAAGAATCATGTTCTATTTCTTATGGGAATAAAAGAGCTTATCTTAAATTTGACTATTTTTTAGATTTTAAAATATAGTAATTTCACTTTCCAAGCCCAACAATTGAAGGTAAGCCCCATTCTCAGGAAGTTGCATATTTTAAAGATCTGGGGTACTTAAATACAGACAACAATAATGACCTGGATTTTTTGCCTATAAGTTGCAACATCTGAAGTATTTTGAGAAATCCAATGAAAGAAAGTACTTGGAAACAATATGTCAGATAAGGGTAGATACAAAATGTGTAAGGAACTCTGTAGACCCCTTAGCCAACAAGACAATTGACCCAAGTTTAGGAAGAAGAAAAATGAAAGGGGGTTGAGTAGAACCTTCTCAACGGTGCCCCTCAATGTGTATTATTAATCACATTCACCATGTGTCATTATCAAGAAGATAAATCCAATCTGTCACAGAACCAAAATTGTACCTACTGGTAAGTTAAAAGTCATCGAAAGAGGCTTGAGAAACAGGAGTGGTCATCATAAGCTCCGTGTGACTGCAAGGAAGCAAGCTTTAAATAGAGCAGTATTAATGAAACTTGTGCACACTGATGACATTTTAGAAGAAGAAACTCATGCTTTGAATGTTACAGTGCTGCTCCACTGAGATACAGGCACCCAAGAATGGGTGATTTCTATTTTCTATGTCCTGGCAGTTATATCTTTTAATATGAAAGTCAGAAATACACAATATATCATTATTACATTTTAGAAATTTATATTCCTTGTATTTACTTATGTGTATGTGAGTATATCTCTGAGTGTATGTACACACACATATGTACAAGTGTGCACAAAGACCAGAAGAGGTATGGGCAGTTATGTGTTGCCCAATATGTATACTGGGAACTAACTTGGGACTTGTACAAGCACTTAGAGTTATCAACTTCTGAGCCATCTCTCCTTACTTTATATTCAATCCTATTAAATTTTGAAAGGATTTAAGCTATAAGAAAAATCATCTCCTTCACAGTCACCTTTCCTGATGTTCTTTCTTCACTTCATTGCAGCCATAATTTATCTGTTATGATTTCTTCCTCTGGTCTGTTTGTACTAATAAAGGTTGTTGCATATTGCAATGATAAACCCAACTACATCACACACTGGCACACAGGCTTACTCTAGTTGTGTAAATACCTCACAGACATGAAGAACTTATAAGTGGTGGAAGGGAAACTTCTCAGAAACTGAAGTGAAAGAAAAAAAGGAGGTACGGAGGGAGGGACAGCCACAAGCTCCAACAAGACACCAAACTGAGATCTTTATGGGACAATTCCCTTATCATAAGCATTTCAGCATCAAAATACAAACAGTGTCTTTCTTTTGAGGCAGAAAATTGTTACACTGTATTGTAGAAACATCATTGCATTTTCCAATAAAAATGTTAAATTTTCTGTAAAGGAACTAGTTCTAATCTTGTATAAACAACACTGTCAGAAGGTTCTGTCTTCTGCTTGCAGCACTGAAGTAAGCCCTCCATCTGCTTCTTCTCTGGAGTCTCCAGTTCAAGCAGATGGAGTTCACACACTCACAATTATCTTCTGTGACTTTTCAGGAACTTGTATCTCCCATCTGCGTTATAGATTTTGGTGATACATGAGTCTACAATGTGAAACAAACTGTGGAATGCAGACATGCTCCATTGTCCTGAGCAAATGGTTTTGTTATGTCTGAGTTCATGTTGTGATTTCATAAGCCACATGAAACTATAAAAATTCATTCTGAACTGGAAAGTGCCAGAACAGAATAGGGGATTGCAGGCTAGATAGCCCATACATTCAATACAAAGACAAAAATAGTTGTAATGATTCGTTAAGAGAATATTTATCTTCCAATTATCAACTAGGAGACAAGCCACTGGGCAAGTCTATAAGGGAAATTATAGGTTAGCTTAAGTGAGGCGAGAAGATCTACTGTAAATGTGGATGATGTCCTGACAAAATTCCCATGTGAAAGAGTGAAAGAAAGCTGAGCACCAGAACTCATCCTTTCTCTCTCTGTCTCTCTCTCTCTCTCTCCCTCTCTCTCTCTCTCTCCCTCTCTCTCTCTCTCTCTGTCTCTCTGTCTGTCTCTCTCTCTCCTTACTGACTGTGAGCACCATTTGACCAGCTGCTTCATACTCTTGCCTGCCATGCTGACTTCTTTCCTCCATGATGGATTATACCCTAAAACTATGAGCAAACAAACAAATCTTCCCTCCTTAAGTTGAATTTGTCATCACATTTTCATAGAAATGAGGAAAGAAATTCTGTCATTTCTTATTTACCAACAATGAATGCTCTAACATCCTTAAGCAATATAATAGAAATTTGAATAATGATTAATTTTTCTTTAAAAATTATAATAATGAAAATTACAATGCATTTAACTCTTAAAGTATGTGTATAGTTAATTGGTTTAATAATGCTACTGAAACCCTCTGTTCTTTCATTCAGCCTGGGAAAGAAAAAAATAATAAAAATCCTATTCTGACATTGCCCTGAGCAGGGCAGGCTTGTCAAAGACAGATTAATTTTCAGAGCAGCTGTGCAAAATGAACTGCTTGTGGAAAGCATATAGCTGCAGGTTCATTTTGAATGTGAGGGTTATGCTATAAGTAGTGACACACCCTTCAGATCATAGAAATGTCAACAAGCAAAGTCTTCATATGTGTCTGTGATTAGAAAGGCAGTTGGCCCACAGTACTATCTAATTGTATTTCTGAATGAGCATTGAGGAATGTTCTTCCTATTGGGATCCAAGGCTAAATCTTAGATCAGTGATTCTGGTTCAAAGTTCAAAGTGATATGATGTTGGAGGATGGGAGGCTTTTCAGAAGTCACTGTTTGAACATATGGTGTAAGATGGATAGAGACTGAAAGATTAAAATAAGAAATAGCAAACATGTGAGAGAGAAACAACCAGTAATGGCTGTACATGGGATAATCCTGATGCACAAATGTCTAAAGATGAAGGAAGCCTGTAGATACTTATTGGGAGCAGATGTGGAAGGCATTTAGTATCACTTTCCTAATTGTGTTCCCTTCCATAATCTCATGATGTCCATCTGCAAGGTAATGCTGTCTTTGAGGACAGCATCTAAGACATCAAGACCTTTCCATAGACACATAACTTCGACATTTAATCATGGCTTCCTTATAATCACTTTGCTTGGAATTGCTATCATTAGCTTTGAGACACGGTCTCACTATTCTCCCAGGATAGTCTCAAACTTTTGATGATCCACCTCCTTTACCCTTCTGAGGGCCAGAGTAAAAGTCAGATCCTGCCATACAAGATTTCTTTTCTTAATATTTTTTTCTAATTTGACTGTCAGATGCAACAATATCAAATCTGATTTCTAATGGAATTCTAATTATACAAAGTAGAAATTTGTTTTCTTTAACTACTTTGGAACTTAGATGGGCATTTTCTGATAGGAGTAATAATATCTAGTCCTAAAACAGCAAGCATGGATTATATGAGCAAGTGTCAACCATGTAATATATAACATAATTATGAAAGGTGATTTTTCTATATGACTATGAAAATCTTTATTTTCTTAACAGGCCATATTATTGTAGCATCTTTTCTTATGTTGTCAGAGACATCTACAGTAGGTAACCATCATAGTACTATACAGGTATACCTAAAGCTTTAGTAAATGAAAATTAAAGATAAAAGTTAAGCCTACCCTAAGAAGTTAATTGTTCCCTCAAATAATTTGAGAATTGTTATAAACCAGGGACTAATCAACTTCTTTCATAATGATTAATGTCAAATGTCAAGTTAGCTGGATTTACAATCACCATAGAAACACAGTTTTAAATGTCTTTAAGTATGTTTCCAGAAAAGCTGAACTGAGGACAGAACAACTGCCATGAATGTGGTTCCATCATCTTAAGGTTCCTGGACAGACTAAGAAGAAAATAATGAGCTGATCATCACCATTCATTTCTCTCTGCTTTATGATTTGATTCAATGTGACGACTGACTCATACCTCTAACACCAAAATGGACTGTATGTACTGCAACTTTAAGAGAACCCAAAACAAAGCAAAATCCTCCCTCCGTGGTCTAAGCCTCACTTAGTGACAGACTCCTAGGCACTGATATGGAATGAGTTCATTTTACATGTGATAGTAACACTTGCTATCATGAACCACAGTGTACCTGGTGGAAGTGGATGACAGAATGTTGAGTATTCATTATGTAGTCCTTTCCTATACTGTACTGAATTTGTTTGTATCCAATAGCATATGGCAAAAGTAATGAATTCAGGTTATGGAAGACACAGTCCCTCAGTTTTCCATCACTGTAGGAATAGAGACATGTAGTTGAAAAAGCCATGGAGTGCTTGCTTCAGCAGCACATATACCAAAATTGGAACAATACAGAGAAGATTGGCATGGCCCCTGCACAAGGATGACATGCAAATTTGTGAAGCATTCAATATTTTTAACAAATTGGCACAGAGTAAAGTTTCCTGAACAGAACACCAATGGCCCAGGCTCTAATATCAGCTATAGTCAAATGGGATCTCATAAAATTGAAAAGCTTCTGCAAGTCAGAGGACACTCTCATCAGAACAAAACAGCAACCTACAGATTGGGAAAAGGTCATTACCAACCCTACATCTGATAGAAGGCTAATATCCAATATATTCAAAGAACTCAAGAAGTTAGACTCCAGAGAAATAAATAACCCTATAAAAAATGTGGTACAGTGCTAAACAAAGAACTCTCAATTGATGAATTTCTAATGGCTGAGAAGCACCTAAAGAAATGTCCAACATCTTTAGTCATCAGGGAAGTGTATATTAAAACAACCCTGAGATTCTACCTCACATCAGTCAGAATGTCTAAGAACAAAATTTAGGTGATAGCAGATGTCCCATCCAATAGGAGTTTGGCCCTGGAAGCTGACATTCCAAATCTGGAATTCTTATGTTACAGACTCCTGACAGAGGTGAATACCCCAGAAAAAAGACAGACAAGAATATGGGTGAAAGTTTCCAGGGAATCTAGAGATCTAGATTTATTATCACTACCACAAACTCTCCCTATGTTATCTGTGTTCAAGTGAGCCCTATATCTTCTTATATCAGTACATTAACTCCCTGCTAGAATTCATGTTTCCTATGCCTATAATTCTGATAATTTTAATTGTCAAAAGTCATTTATTCTTCCAGTTTTGAAGATCACATTTAAATTAGTTAGTAGTGGTAGGGGTGGTGTTGCATGTAGATAAGCCCAGCACTTGGAAAATGGGCAAAAGGATTAGGAGTTCAAGTCCAGCTGCTATATAGTAAATCTAAAGCCATCCTGGCCTGTAAAAGTTCATCAGAAACAAAATCCAACAAACAATTTGCCTCATAGCTACAGAATTTTGCTCTTTTGTACCTTTTGAATAAGTCAGAATGTATAGTACATTTACACACATTTGCATGTGTGTTAGGGCATGATTGTCACACATCTATGGGAATCATGGGGAAAGATCTATGGAGATAAAATAACATAAACAGACAAGTACATATGAGAAGAAATAGTTGAATAAAATATTTGATGGTTGCTGACTGACTTCGTTTAGTACTTTGGAATCTCATGTTGCGAAATCATACTCCAGGAAAATGACTGAATTCCTCACGAGGAAAGTAGTTTCTGAAGGCTATTATAAAATAAACTAAGGACTTATTAATGGGAATCCTTATGCGACACAATACGTGCACAGAAAAATCTGAAGGGTACACTGGGATGGAAAGGAAATAGGAAAACAGGAAGAATTGACCTTTGTTGTAAGTAGCAAGCAGGGTGTGAGGCATGGCAGGTGGCCTATAATACTCTGCCAGAGGCAAAGACAGAAAATTATGGGCAACTAAATAGTTAACCTGGCCAAATAGCTGAGTTCAATTTGTAAGATAGAAAGCAATCAAGGAGGATAGCCATGTCAATTTCAGACCTCCATACATATCACATTTGCACAAGTGTGTTAACACATGGAATATAAATACAGACATGTATACTAAACAGTCCACTTTATGTTACGGCTTTTCACTAACAGATTGAAAGTTTACACTGGAAATATGGAATTCTGTTTTGCTTATGGGATGATTTCACTACCTGATATGTATTACATTGTAATTGGACATTGGATTTGATTTGTGATACACAGAGGTGGGTTTGCTGGGCAGCAAGTCACTGAAATTCTCCTTGCTGATTACCATGGAAGCTGCCCTGTCTCACGTATAGTTTCTCTCTCTGCTGCAGGGCAAAGCTGTCTGGGTTAGTGCTTAAGCCTCTAGCTTTTTTCCATATTACAGAGCTCAGGAAAATAGCTCAAAGTATGAATAGAGGCCATGGGTAATTGAAAGGTTGCTCAATCTGAAACTCAAAAAGCTTCTTAGAAATACATTTATTTTCCATTGCTAAAGAAGATGATTCTTTTCATTTGTGAGGCCATAGTATAGTATCTGAGAATGTGTTCACACAAATCCCAGCCTGAGGAATCATTACGCGGCATTAACTATGTGATTTCTCACCTCACTTTAGAGGTTGAACCTCACCTTTCCTGAATTTTTAGGACTTGGAAGGTTAAAGAACATCTATTTGGGGTCATGAGGTTATTATGAGAGAGATTAGGTGTGTAATGTCACACTCCACTGGATTGTATTACATAATACATTAATCACTGCATAATCCCTGACTCAGTTGGTGCACAAATTTATTTTACTATCTGACATAAAATACCACCCACACTTTCCTTCTTAGTGCTCCATCTGCTTCTTTCTTTTTTTCTTATCCATGAGCACAAGCCTGTACTAGAAGACTCAGTATAACTTTGCATCCATGACACCCCAGTTTTCTCAGGTCTGCTAGGAAACACATTGTCAAACACTGGAAAGTATTTTACTCTTATTTAATGTAGTAAGGAGTACTGATACTGTAGATCAGTTGGCAGGTTACTTGAATAACATTCACAAAGTCCTGACATCCATTTCCAGCACTGTATCGAACTTGCTTGGTGGTACATGCTTGCATCTCATTATACAGACATGGAGGCAAGAGGAGCAGAAATCCTGTATCATCCTAAACAGAGTTTCCTGTCAAACAAACAATTGTCTAGTCAAATAATGTTTATGAACAGGTATCTTGACAATTCATATAAGTGACTATTTTGAAATCTAAGAATCTTTGTGACAGCTTCTTGGATATGTAAACTGCAGTGACAGAAAAGCTTTGAGAATTCAACATCAGTAAACATTAAAGAATTTCTCCTATAAATTAAAATTCAAACTGTCCTAGGGCCACATGGTTGTGTTCCACTTCATCATCTTCAGAGTTGATCTTTCTTTCACTTCTGTATTAAGCATTTGTTTTGGGAACTGCGATCAGAACTACAGCCATTCCATTCTCCGCATCACCATCATCAACCTGCTTCAATCATTTCTGTATCTTGTTGACTTTTGACAGACAACGTCTGAGGACTGTGGCTCTGTGGTTTCTTTCTCTCAAGTGCTACTGTTAAATTAGGACTTAGTGTGTTTTTATTTAAAAGTAGTAGACGTTTTCATCATCCTCTTGAGTCTTAAATGGTTTTTCAGCTCGTCGACATGGAACCTCCTTGGAAATCTTCACATTCTGCCTTTGTAAATAAAAGTCACTAACCCTCCGGGTACGTGTGTCAGAGCCTCCTAATGCTCACATCTGAAAGAACTGCCTTTACTCAGCATGGCCTTCTCTATTGTCAGTTATGTGGTCAGCGCTATGGAACTTCACCCAATTGTGACTTATTCTGGCATCTCTACTATCGGATCTCTCTTTTAAAATCAAATTTTACTATTATCATTATTATTATTATTTATTAATTAATTAAAACACTGCACACTGAAATTAACTGTATCCAAAATCTATGAAAATCAATGAACATTAAGAATTATCATTCAAATTGAAGATATGAAGGTTCACATTGAATTTTTCCCTCCAGTGTTTTGTATACTTAAACTCATACTTACCATACATAACAAAGACTGCAACAGATTTAACTAGAAAAGCAATTAGGTTTATATCTTCTTTCATAACGCACGTCAATTACTTGCATTCAGCCCTTCCTCAGCCCTTTACATTTAGCTTTTCTTGTTCACTTTCTGCATGTTATACTGTATCCACATGTGCATCTGTTCACAAGTGTATTATATTATCCATTTATCTGTTGGTTGAGGACTAGGTTGATTTCATTTCTTTTATGTAGTTAATAAAACATAGGAAACAACAGAAAAACTGGTCTTTCTTCTAAATTACTACTGCATACAGACATTATATTACTTTTTTCCTATTCTTGATACACCTTTATAATCACTTGGTTTTAAATCAGATTACATTTGTGTGAAATGCAGTAACATATTGTATGACTGACCTAAGTACTCAAAGTCACAGTGTCTTGTGGTCACTGAATTTCTTCTAAGTCTTTTTCTGTTCTATAACACTGAAGAGAAACACAAAATACCATCCTGAATTTGATCTAGTTTCATGTGAAACTTTTACCTAGATAAATCAGGCTTCAGTTCAGTTGATTATCCATTGCATTTATTTATATTTGTGGGCATCTTAATTTGTAATTAATATTTAAAAACAGGAATCACAAATCTTGATGAGAACATTATGAAAATAACTTTTCAGGGGTTTTTGTGCTAAATTAAAATAAAACATTCAGAGATTTATTTCCTATTTTGATTTGTCTTTGATAAATTAATTGAAATTAGTAAAATAATTTTTTTAAATTTTCAATATTTGAACTCATAATTTCTCATAGTGTCTTGCCATGATGGTATGATAGAACCATTTTAATTGGATAATATTTTATACTTCTTTATTTTGATAGAGTAGAGTGAGGGGTCAGTTTATTGTAGAAGGCATTCATTCTCCTGGATGTCATCCTGATTGTATATCTTTCAAGAAGAAAATGACAGACTTACAGCAACAGAAAATATTTTCTGTCATCTCAGCACCACAGCCACGTAAATCTTGGTCTCCTTCTAGGAGACACATAGAACTTGGTGTGGAACTATGGAATTGACTGTAAGCTTAGAAACTGGTCCTTTGAGAGTGATAAATGGATCCATAAAATAGATTTCTACTCTGATGCATTCGTGATCCGTTTGCTTATTCATAAATCTACAGAATTTGATGCTGAGGACTGTTGTGATTCTGCAGCAAGGAACACCCTTATTTTCTGTGTTTTATTCCAATGTCATATAACCTTAAGTATAAACCGCTGTGTGGTGTGCATGAGTATATGATTGACAGATAGATAGATAGATAGATAGATAGATAGATAGATAGATAGATACCTAGATACATAGACACTTAGATACATAGATAGATAATATTGACTAAATTGATGATAGATAAAAAATTAATAAAAATAGAGCAGATAGAATGGTAGGTAAAAGACAACAAAATAC